TGGAATTATACCTAGAGATATAAATGATGTATAATCAAAGAAGATACTTTAAAATTTTAAGAAAACTAGTATTATTAACTTAAATATAGTGTTGTTATTGGGTCTAGTTTTTTAAAACATTTATTTGTATATTTATTTCCGGTAGTCGATGAATTTATAGTTGCTTGTTATAACTATTAATAGTTCTTGGTACATTATTATTTATTATTATAATATGTATGACATTTTTAATTTTTATTATTTGATCTACAGTATATTTATAGTATACAACAAACGGTTGATAACTATATGTTATATTGTCTTTTATACTATTTAGTCATGCATATTACTATTATATACAGCGTAGTATATTATTATCGATTATATTTTGTGGGATTAGATAGTTTTATTTTGATGCACGTATCACAATATATTATGTAATGTATAATAAAATAATATGACGTACGTGTGGTCGATTAAAGATCATCAGTCATTGTTGTGTCGGTGGAGTGTGTTAATATTGTTATTTTTTATTTGCTCAGGGTTTTCGAAAAAACAAGGGACAGCAGCTGATTCGCGACGCAGGGTGGACGTGAATGCGCGTTTCGGTCACGGTGTTACCGCGGACCGGGATCGTCACGGAAAAAACCATTAAGAAGATCCCACTACCGTCGACCGTGAACCGTTGTGTCCGAGTATTTTGTTCTTGAGAAGGCGTAAACATTATACATTATATACTGTATAATACAAATAAACGAAAAAAATCGGTTCCGGTGACGAAAATAAAAGAATTCACATAGTCAACAAATGTTTCCGGAGAGATTTCGTAGGTTATTAGGAAATCTACAAAAAATATTTTACATCGACTATTGTCGGTGTTTTTGTATATATACAAAGAAAACAACCTTTGAAAAGTTGTACAATAGTTCGATTGTGCGATGTATTCATTTTTCGAAAAACATTTAACACATTTATTTCAGTCGAAAAAATTGCAAAAAACTCAATGACCTACCTACAAAACATTATTATAGTTCAATCGCGTAAAACGATAGTATATTGATTAGGGGAGAGAGGTTGTTGCTGCTGGTAGTCATAATCTATAGGCTATAAATATTTTTATTACACAATTTCGTTATTGAAATAGAACAGAGTGATTTCTTTTTCTTTTTCTATTTTATAAGTACCTGAAATTATAGAGTAGGTAGGCTTATTTATAACTAACATCATTACATAATTATTATTATTATATTTTGTTTACTAGTACATTATATTTTTGCAATTTGTGTCGAACCTTAATGTGTATGATTTGACTTTTTGAGCATCTAATTAAATATAAAAATATTTTTTCGAAAAATATAGGAATCACTTAAATATTACATAACTGCATACTAAATATACTCAAATAATTAAAAATAAATAGCAGTTTTAAAAATATTTATCAATTTATATGTTATTTTTTTCATTTAATTAGTAATTGCCACAAAAAATATAATCATAATATTTTTTATTATGCAGATGTTTTAATTTAATTTTGAATACGTATATAAAGAAAATCGACTGATAGAGCCAATTCTTATGGGTATTTCTTGAGATTTATCACATTTTTCTTACTCTTGTCTCAGCATTGATTTTGATTATAATATTAAACAAGTGTATTGATGTGTAAGTATTACTAAACTGATTATTGTACATTTTAGGAAGTTCTATCGAGTCTGGACAATTTGTTATTTTTTTTATATTTTGGTAGTTTGCGAATGTAAAATTTGTTCAATTTGATAAAAGAGCTTTATTATATGAAAATATAATTCATTTAACTTACAAAATTGTATCATAAAAAAGTAGTAAGTACTAAAGAAAAGCATTGTTATATTTTTTATTTTATTATAGATGAAGAATTTTTTGTGAACCATAATATATTGATAAGTGCACGTCAATTAATGTATTAGCCATCATAGGTATAGTTCACATTCTGTAAAAATATGACTATTTTAAAAATAATAATACATATTTTGTATTGTTGTACTAACCTTTCAAGTTATGTATAAACTAAATTAAACAGCAAAACAAAATATTATTGCTTAAAACAAGGTTGAGAAAACAATCATGTAATCAGTAAAATTAATAAGCTAAGTAACAGTATAAAAAATATAACTTCGTCAAAACTAAGAAAATACAATCGTTACGTAATAAATAACAATTAGTATAACTTTAATCATAGTCAATAATAAGTAAAATTTATAGCCAATGGTTTTAATTTTATTAAATTTGATGAAATAAAAATATATGGAGACAAAAAAGGGTTCAGATAATGGTAATAGTGCATTACGATCACTATTAAACGCCGACTTTTAATAAAGTGCTTAAATGATTATTTGTTTACGTTCGTTTTGAAGTTTAAGATGGTATATTGTGTATGTCCAATAAAAGTCACAGAAACGACATTCGATCGGTGAGTGGTTGCTCTCATGTCTGGCCATGCAGATGTATTAGATATAAAAACGGATTGTACAGTTGTTCGTGAAAGCGAAATTTACTAGCAAGGCCTTACGGATAACGGGGTAACCACTACATAGCTACTAATGCTACTACTACTACTACTACTACTACTACTACTACTAATAATAATAATAATAATAATAATAATAATACATTTGAGTGAGTACTCATCGACCAAAAATCATAGTTTTCCCACACAGTGCAAGTTAATCAACGAAGTTTTGCAAAACTCATATCGAAAATGTGTTTTTAATGTCCATCTGCAGATTATATATCACCGCCGTAGCCGTTCTCCATCTCGTATTTTATTTCTACGCCACCGCGTCGCGCGTCGTCATCATGGTGCAACGATGACGTCGCAATAATCGGCCATTGCGCAGTGACCCACATTATATCCGTATCATATATCTCGTGTATTGTATCTAATACTAAATACGAGAATACGAATATAAAATAAATCAGCGGTGGTATCGCAGCGGACGGTACGATATAGTTGAAGGACGTATGATGGATAAATATGTTTAATATAATAGGTATATATTTTTTACATTTTTACACACATAAATACGTGTGTTTTTTAACTTTTAAATACGATTATTCTATAAATATTTTACAAAGTAATTATTGTAAAACGCTCGTAATAAATACTACTACCTATTACTAATGACTCAGGAAAAATAATTCCACACCAAAAACTTTAATTTTCAAAAAACATACTTTTAAACAATACTTTTTAGCCGCTTTAAATTTCCCTGATGGCTTTTTATCTTTTTTAATTCATTATTAGAACAATTTTTTGCAACCAAAATGTTTGATCTTAATTCAGTTTCATTAATATTTAATAAAGTTTGAAAAACACGAGAAAACAAAATAGGTATAACTAATTATAATAATAGATGGTACCTATTACATTATTTTATTAATAGTTTTTTCAGGGTCATCATGTACAATAATATAATAATAATAATAATAAAAAAAATATTTTTTCAAAGTTTTAATTGAAAAAATAAAACAATATTTTAAATAAAAAACTTTATCAATGTATTAACGATTGGTTTGACTCATTGACTGGAAACTATAATAGGGGAGAATCAAATAAAAACTAGAGATTTAGTCTGCAAAAGGCCTCTCCCATTAGTTATACCTATGATAATATAGTTATTTTTCGAGAAATCATAATACAACTTCGAAGTTATTTTACATACGCCGTTGTTTAAATTAAAACCATGTCATAATAATTAATAATATCGATTTTATTCAAAAATAAACCTTTATAATTATAATTACTAATTTTTTGTATTTATATTTATATAATGAATTATTTTACTTCTGATACCACGATTTAAGCTGCAAATTTTTTCATGATCGTTTTTATTGAGTCTACTGTCCTATTCTCAACGGTTCTAAAAAAAAAATCGTTTTTTACGTTATCATCTACGAGTGCTAGTGTACGTATTATAAATTATAATAAAAACGTAGTAATTGTTGATGTGCGAAGACAACCTTCCGACAAAAAAATCTTTTATGCAGGTAACTTCCGGTTCAACAAAATATATCATCGGTTTCCAGAAAATTACTCATATCAAGGTAAAATACATTTATTTATTTAGTTTTATAGGATTATAAATTTTAATGTATCTATGCCTCTATGACAACATGACGTGTAGATTTGAGAAAATTCCCATAAAACCTTGATAAAATAGTTGTATATTTGCTTTTGCTTGGCAATATTTAAGTAATATTTATGTACAAGTACCTACATCCCGTATCATAATTAGCTAGGGTGGGTTAATTCGGTGAAATAACAGACAAAAGCGCTACCTATGTGTTATGGTCGGCGCAAGAAGCGAATCTTTTAAAGTGTTTATAAGCGACTGTTATGATATGTTGGTATAAAATCGTAATATTGACTCTGCAAAAATACTATTATAATAATATTATACCCACCTTTATGTTCGGCTATACCGCAGCAAGGATGTCTGGACGATGCTACACGAATATGAAACCCTCGGCTTACCTGAAAATATTGTCGTGTGTACAACAGTGATGCAGCAGCTGTGCGTTTAAATGGTTGCACACAGCAGGAGAGCAGCCCTAGCGTACGTGCCAACGAACGAAAGACTCCTCGTATGTATATTATATGGGTATAATGCATTATATGTATGCCGTTGACACAATATGCACTATAATATACATTGGTTTCGATTAGCGAAATGTGCGCGTATTACGACATCTAATTTTCATATTTGTACCTCGTTATAATAAAATTAGTTTAATTCCTTAGATTTTTGGTGTAAAAGAAATGTATATTTTCATATTATTGTAAAGCGTAATAAAATGCCAAATGTATTACCTATGTAACTATTATTATCAATAAAAAAAAGAAAAATTTTGATTAAAATTAATTTTAATAATAAATAAATACATACTATGAATATTAACTTATAAAATATATCTGAAATCATAGAACACATAGAAAATATAGAAGCACACATGCAAAAATAAATAAAATAATAATACTAACGTATGATATATTATAATTTTGATTATAATTTTAAATGTAAAAAAATAATAATAATAATGATAATAATCATGAATGATTTACATTTCACGTGTTATGTTAGATTAGGATCGCATATATATATATAGTAGATGCAGCATCATCCGGTGACCGTACGTGGGTGGTCTGAAGGGTATGCATTTATATAATAATGGTATAATATTATTATGATTGACCCTCTTACGTAATACGTACAACTACTCTTATCAGCTGGACAGCACCTTTTTGTGAATTGACTAGAATTTTATCACCACGCAGCATTCGAAGGATATTATACAATGATAAATATTTAGGCCGAACTGCATAGTATTATTATACTTGTGTCGTATTATGACCACTGTCAATAACTATGTGCAGCCTGCAACTGTGGCGGACCGTAGTCCTGTACCTATAAACACAAACACACATTAATTTAATGTGCAAAGTCTCTATGGTGTATTATATATTTGTATATACTACTTGTTAATGTATTACGAATTAAATATTAAACGTATCCTATACTATTAAAAATTACAATACGATTTTGACATACATATATATATCAGCTCTCTGGTCGATGAGTATGAGAGTTGTGTATAGGTATAATAATTTTAATGATGATATAAACTTTTTTGGTTCGATTTTACTTATCATACATAGATAGGTATAACACATAATTGACTAAATTTAATAACTAGCATATACAATAACAACACACTTTATTTGTTGAGAAAATAAATACAAATCTATGATTCAAATAAGATTTGTGTTAGATGTAAGGTTTGAAATATTACCTAGGTACTTCTTCCAATAGTATGAAATGAATTGAATATTAATAAAAGGACGTTTATATTATTCATTAAATTATTATAAATTATTTATTATTATGAGTTTGATATAAAGCATCAAGTAATAAAAATTAATATACGATAATATTATATAGGTACGAGCAATATCGTTTAATAAAAGTATTTACTTGCGAATTCAATGGATAGTGGTGGTGAGTTGTTGGCAGCCTTTGAAAATGAGTTGAATCGTGCTGAAAAATTATAGGAATTATGAAATAACATTGGGTTTTCAAATAAATATAGTTGCCTGACATTTTTATTTTTTAAATTAAGACAGTGTTTTATAAAATACTCAAAAAAATTTAAAAATTAAAAATTACTATAAGTTATATAGAATTATTCAATTATATACTAAATAATAAACAAATAATAATTATTCAGTAAGCTAATTGAAATGAGAGATTTCTGAACGTGTACGGGTTTATTAAAATAGTGTGGTTGACCATGACGTATGTTTTAATCGAGAAGATAAAGTTTCGAGTGATATTTGATGAATAAAATAAAACATTATCATTATTTTTGGGAATATGGCAGCCACTTGCGTTTATATGGTTTAATGTGAATTTAAATGAGCCCGCAAGATATAATTCTAATATTACAATACTTAGAATAATATAATATAATATACTTACGTCATTGTATAAGTCTTGATGGAAGTCGACGGTATGAGTAGGCCAACACTGTTGTTTTGTCATTCGTTGGTCGTACGGATCTGGTGTCAGCAAGTCGTATCCACCGTAAACGGCATAACCACCACCACTGTTATCCGGTTGGTGTTTGGACACTACAGAATGATAACCATTAGCGAAAATATCGTCGCCCTGCAGGTCGTTGGCTGGCTCGATGATGTTGTTATAATCTTCAGGATAACCGACTGTTGGACAGTTTTCACTCTGAAGCCGAGGCATTTGACGATTGACGACGATCCGTGGTGTTTCCTTGTGGCATTTCTTCTCCTTCATCCGCCTGTTCTGGAACCATATCTTTATTTGCCGCTCGGTAAGGCTCAACTCAGCCGACATCTGCTGCCTCTTATTCCGCACGATATACCTGGAAGTTTGGAACACCGTTTCCAGCACAGCAGTTTGGTACTTTGAATACGTTTGCCTAGATCTTTTACTGGAACCTAGTAAAGCGCAAAAACCATGTAAAAGCCAACAACGTTTTTCTTAGTTACAAAAATTGTTGTGCTAATAGTTTTGTATTCTTTTGTTGTGTTAACATATTATAATATTGACTAGTTTATATTAGCGACTTACCTTTGACTTCGGGCAGATCACTGTCGGTGACAACAAACTGCTGCTGCGGATGCCAGTCGTACGCGGACATGGTTCTTTTACGTGTGTTCCTGGTCGGGTTCCGAAAACCGACTAACCTATAAATCAGTATATGCGAACGATGGACCCTCCCGCGGCCGGGGATTGAGTCCAGCGAAAATTTAGGGAGATTTATACGTCGACAGTGTGGAGGTGTAGGGGTAGAAAAAACACAATGAACTCGATAAACAGAATCCGTGTCTCGCCTTTTGTGTCACCGGGGAGGTTCCACCCTCGATCGGACTACGCGTGGTCTCCCCCCAACCGTTGGCGGGAGGTTTCAGACACTCGCGACATATCGTTGACGCAGGGGAGTGTGCGATTTTTGGGCCTAGCCTGAGTAAATATACATAGTGCACACCGCGATGTACAGCAACAGCAGTAGTAGCAGTTGTAGGGCATTGGGTGATTCACCTATATTGTATTATATTATGTGCACGTATATATTGTTTGAACGGCCATGTCGATATATCATAATGTATATATACATATATTTTATATATGCGTGTGTGCGTGTGTGTGTGTGTGGCACGCGCTCACCCAAAATCCCTTTCCGACGGATTCAGCACGCACACTGCGACGATAAAACGTTACTTTATTCGTTTATATATTATATTTGCACTTATTACAATAGTATTATTGTAGACAAGACTAGTGTGGTCCGTTTGTTTATTATATATTTTTTTGGTATCGCCAACAATCATCAGCATTATTACATTTTCGTCTATTGTTATACGAGTCATCTGCTTATGTATTTTCATTGGGTCTAAATATAAGTATGGTTTGTAATTACTGACGCGTTTATAGATATTTAAAATCCTATATGAATATTGTCTAGTATTTGTAAACATTCAACGGAATAACAATAACTATACAGTAGATACCGGCATAACTTTATTCATTACTAAAGATTAAGCTGTAAGATGTGAGTTATTTACAAAATACATTTAAACATCAATCCATGAAACATATGTTTTTAATTAAATGTTTTCGATCTAATTAAATCATTTTAATAACCACTGATATCGAAAATATGAAAATTAATGTGTTTTTTTAAAAATAAATAAACATATTAAAATTATAATGATGATTGATAATAACACTTAACAGTACTTAATAATAACATTCTGATAAAAAACATATAAAATTTAATAACTATTTATATACATTGTTGTATATCGAAATCCATTATATTGGACTTTATATGTACAATAACAAAAATAGATCGTGTCTCAACTATTTTATTAGTGGCGTATGTTAAAAACGTGTTTATAATATATAGGTATATTAAGTAGGTACAGTGTTAGATTTTTAGATGCAGTTCAAAAATGTTTATTTTTGTTTATTGTTTTATTTTGTCTTACAAACATTTCCTGTTGACCGCTTAAAAGTTATCAGCTAGCCGTAAAATAAATATATGCCTATAGAAAACGAACAGATAAGACCGCTAGACAACATAACATATTATTTTTTATAATTATAATCTAATATGGATTTCGTAGTATATTATAATTATTAACATCTAGTTTATTTCTACGTAATTTAGGATAATATATAATTAATTTTTCCGACTATTTTATTTGTTTACTTGGTTGCCATTCTAAATACCGTGTCGTAATAATTGGTACAGTTTTATCAGGGACAATACAAAGCTGGCGAGACATCCAAAAGATATTCACGTTAAAGATTTTGTCCGTTTAATTATTATAAATAAATAAATAAATAAATCTTGTACGACATCTGCGTATTTATTCTACGGAAAAATGAATGAACTGCAGTGCTGTTAGAACCCCAATAAAAAGATTGCATCGTTTGTTTTGTATATACCAGGTATATGGTTTAGAAATCGTAGTATTTCACGTACAAATAATACGTTTGAATTTTAGAATTGAAAAAATTACGTCGAAATGATCGTCCGATTATCGAAATCAATATGTCTTAACATAATATCATCAATCACAAGTTATACATAATATTTTATGTACGTTTTAAAATTTTTAACAACTATAATATTAATGACGATAATTTAAATGATTACACAGTATATTATATACATTTTGTTCGGGTCGTGATTTTGTCGTCATCACGAAAGCTCTTTAAATCCCTGTATTCACTCGATTCAAATTAAGACTCATTAAATAGGGTGCCAGTGGATTTAAAATGCGATTTGCATACGTTTATCGATATCATGGTGGACAGCCCTTCTCTCGATTATATTAAGTTGTAGGCTAGGTAGTCATTAACACGCGAACATGCGGACCCTCAGAATCCATATAATTGAAAGTAATAACTAATAAATGTATAATATATTATATATGTTAGCGAATCGAAATCTGAAGACTTGTTGACAATTTAACCGCGGTGTCTCAACATTATCACGCAATTCGGTGAAGGGAAAAGTATTTGGGCATGGGGAGAGAACGGAAATTGGATCAAGGGTCAAGTTCAATTATTATTATTATAGCACACCACTGTAGATAGCGAGAATACGTATTTATAATCATTATTGGTGGGATAGCAATATTTCACGACACGAGGGTTGGTCTCGATACCGAGATAATACCCTTGTTTTTCTTATTAAAATATATAAATGTACGTCGCGTTCTTTAATAAGACTGATGCTGGTGGCAGGGCAGTGTCTTCTGTTATAATATATGTAGTGGATTCCACTGCTGCATGTTTCTAATTTATGTACAGATTATACTGTTATAGTATTTAATTATTATGGTTTAAGATTATTATTATCTATTAAAATATAATCATCCATGTATAGTATATCATTAAGGCACTTAAAGATAATATGTTAGAATTGATATCAAACAAAAAAATCTTTACTCAAATAGTTATATTTACCGAAAATACTCTTTTTGTTTGGTTTTTGTTTTGACTTAACATCGATTTTCAATAATTATTAGACGTTAACATAGTACACACAAAGATTTCACTAACTTTATGTGTTGGCATACGTATAATAATATAATAAATCATATTATCTACTATACGTATAGAAAAAAATTTTTTCCAAATAAAAATTTACTAAACAAATTATTGAAGTCTGTTAAATTAATCATTTAGTATTAAATTTGTATATAAGTACGTGTACATTATGAAGTGACGTATAGTATATGAAGGTAAATTATGGATGAAAATTTTATATGATTATACCACAACTCGTTTTTATTGGAACGAGAATCATTCAAGGCTGTTTTTAAATTTATCATTAGAATCAGTACATTTTCACATGGTCTTAGAATATTTAACATCCGGAGCTCTACCTGTAAGAACATCGTAATTTAAGTATACGTTAAAACGCACATTGCTACTGTAATGTTTATAATATTTACATTAAATTTTCAAGGATCTGTACCAGTATACATAATACATATACTCTGAACTTGGTGCCTGGAATTTCACTAATTATACGCGCCTTGTACCAATTCTATGAAAAAATATTCCAAGCCTACGGTCAAAATATTCAGTATAATTATTATTGTATAATGACGCAGTAGTGCAGTACACTGTAAGTCTGGTTGTAGCGGGTTTTCAAGTGTTATATATTATGTGTCTATGTAACGTATGTTTTTTTGCTTATACGATTATATAGGTATAATGATGTTTTACGCATATTGTAATGATGTGATTGTAGGACTAATTCTTAAAACTCATTTTAGACATCATCTTGATGTAAAGCATTAATATATTAAAGTATTGCCTTGCTACGAAACGTGGGCCATTTATAGTATGATCAAAACATTTTGTTTACACTCATTGTTCACATATGTATTTGTCAAGAAAACAAACAATTCTTAATGGTTTTTATTTTTTTAACGGTTCATTATACATTTTCAGTGTCGAATAAAAACAATGGATTATCTGAAACGTAAGTAGCAACACATAATATTTGTTCAAAATTAAATAAAATATGATAAAAAATTAACTAGATATCATACTAATTAAAGTTAGACATTTTTTATGAAAGCTTTCCAACAAACTTACTCATTTAGATTCAGATGTGAAATAATGGTGTAAATATTTTTTCTAATTTTTTTTTTTTTTTTTAATTGTTATTATTTTTAGAATCAATATGTATCCAAATGGTAGATTATTTATAAATGGTATTATTATTGTTTTGAATTGCTAGATGTTACAAAAATATAAATCTATCGATCAATTTTCTAACAGTTGTACAAGTTAATATATCAGTGTAATAGTTGTCTGAACACCACGAAAACTACAAATAATCATCGTTATTCGTAAATATTCAATGGACATTGTATAATATATATGCATTTATAAATTATATTGTGCTTATGTACATTAGTTCCCCTATACCAGTTGACATTTATAGCTTTGGGGTTCACTACAGTGTAATTAAATCGCATACGCTGATAATTAGGCATATTATGTAGCGCGAGTCAATGGAGACAAATTAAAAATAACCGTTTAACAATTTGTACCTATTATAATTTATAATACACACTTAATAATTATATCAACAACAGTAAACAATAAAACACAAGAATTATGGTTTAAAAGTTTTTGAAAGTCAATATTATGGTTTAAAAAACTGATGATAATAATAATGTTTTAACATCAGTGAGACGAGCAATGGTGATTTGAACTGTTTTGACAGTAAAAATGAGAAAACGCCGCATTGTTTTTAGTAATTTATTTGAAAGGGGTCTTGTAATTTGAATGGAAGTATTTCCATTATAGAGTGAAGTAAAAAAGAAAGAAAGTGGTATGTTGGACCCTTTCGTAATGTTTATCTGAACATGCCACGATAAATCAATCGCACTGACATGGCATGGCACTCGAAATAAGAACATCCCTCAATAAGATATCTGTACGTTCAGAAGCACCTACATTATATATATTTATATATATACTTGTGTTTTATTCAACCAAAAATTTTAAATGAACGTCCATCAAGAATTTATATTTTAAAGACTTTATTTAAATATTTTTCTATGTAAGCAATAAATATTATTGTACTTAAAAGTGTTATTTTTTTAGTGGGATTTGCCACATACAAATTTAG